GTTCATCATGTGTAAGAAATGTTCTTGTTGCTACAGATACAAATATAATTGATTCTAGGTTTTGCCCTCAAACCCACAAGCTTGTAGCTGAATCATTCATTAATTAATATCCAACATATATTTCATGAGTGTTGACTCTGTGCCACTATAAACAGACACAGGGTTTTTCCTCATGGAGCTTACAGTCCAGTGATGGACGTACAATGTGGTGTAGAAGGTGAGGGCTGTGCTTCTCATATTGGGCTTGTGGCTGCAGAGGGTGTGCAAAATGGTTAACGGGAGGCTCCGGAAGGAAATATATGAATTTTCTTTGAATAAATATTTTAATTTATTTATCTTTTTTATTTTTTTAATCCTCACCTGAGAATATTTTTCTGTTTCTCTTCAGATAGAGTGGGAGAGAGAGGGAGAGAGGGAAAGAGAGAGAGAGAAACATTGATGTGAGAGAGACAATTGACTGGTTGCCTCTTACATGACCTTGACCAGGGCCAGGAACGAATCACAACTGAGGTATGTGCCCTTGACTGGAATGGAACCCACGACTCATTGGTCCACAGGCTGGCACTCTGACCACTGAGAATTTCAAACCAGCCAGGGCTGAATTTACTAAATCCAAATTTTTGTGTATATTTGGTAATGTGTCTAATATGTACAGTAGTACATGTATACCATTTATACATAAATAATATTTAAGTTTATTCTATAAATTCATACTCATAAGGTTGCATAAGTAAAAGCATTTGCAGACTTCAGGGTAAAAGCATGGATTTAGGATCAGATACACTCGGTTTCTGTCGCTAACTACATGTGGTTCGTTGGCCAATCCTGAGCTCCTTATCCTTTATAAGAATTGATCTAAGGATTGAGTGTAATAAAGTTAGTAAAATGCTTATGTTGTGTTTGTTTATATCAAGTGCTCCAAAAATGATGACTAATGTAATTATTGTTATTATTCATGTGATAAATATTACAATAAAGGCATCTTCAAAGTTATACAGAAAATATTGAGAAGGGATTGATGAAGCAGTAATCCTCAATGTCTTAAAGCTGTTGTAATAAATCATTGGTGGGAATGTAAATTGGGGCTACTTTGTGTGTAACATGTACCAAGATCCTTAAACATTTTAATTCACTTTAACCCAGTTGTTTTTCTTCCAGGAATTTATCCTAAAGAAACAATTGGAAATTGCAACCGGCTTATAATAGTGACAAATCAGAAAAAGAACTAAATATCCAAAGATAGGAGAAGTCAGATTAATTTATAGCTTTATAATGGAATATTGTTCATCTCTTAACAGTTTAGAGAATACTGGCAACATAATATTTAGTGAAAAAGGATACGAAGTTATAGTGTGACCTCAATTATGTTTTTTTTCAAAAGTACACTATTGCATCAGTCTGCATTTATTTTGGGATGAAGTTTTGGCAGAGCTCTTTTCAATCCCGATGTTGAAATGCTTTAAAATTATTAAATCAGTTTAGACCATATGGCATTTGAGAGCTTGGTAAGTTGGTTAGATATATGCAGTCTCTACACTCACCTAACAAGACATATTTCACTGGTCTCAGCAGGAAGCTGGACCCAGAGGATGAGGAATGCAGGTTTCATACCAGGACAAGAGGTCCGAGAAATGTGTTTCTGATATCAGCTTAGTTGATGTTGTCAAATGGTATTCAGAGGATTGGCCAATGAAAATGCATCACTTCATTCCATGCTCTACTTCAAAATTATCTTAGAAAAGCCAGAACCCCAGAGAGTCGTCTACTTGGACTCCATGGTTTTGATCTTGCTACCAGAAGTATTTTTGCTGAACAAGGACTTAGCATTGCCCATTGGATTATTTCACAGGTTTTTAAATATTGTCATGATCTGCTGTAGTGAATAGGTGTGCTGTTACCAAGACGCTTGCTTGCTTTATTTTGTGGATTGCGAGACTCATGTTGATCCACCTGGAAAGTCAAACTGTGACCCGCCTCTCCAAGGGCACATATGTCACTTGCTTCCTCTTATTTTTTACTGCCATTTGTGTACTTCTTTTTTGTTGTTCTCGGTTTGACATTGGATAAGAAATAAACCTGAAATTTTGGATGGAAGTTAAAGTAATTCTAGAAAATCTAGGCCTTTTGTTAAACTGTAAAGATCAAGGGAAACCCTAGTAGGGTGGGGACTTGCCTTCAGGTTTTGATTCTGCCACAGTAAAGGAAAAGCCATTCAGTTATTGGAAGTATGGTTTAGAACACCCACAGACTCAATGGGAAGGCAGTTTCTCTCCTGTCAGGATTGATGATCATGGGATGCATCTGTAGTCTCTGGTTTGTCAGTGCTACGGGAGAGGGACAGGCTGAGACGGGGCAGAGGGGGAGAACATGGGGGCTCCCTCTCAAACCCATTGCCAGTGCAGAGGGCTCAGTAGATATCAGCCAGCTCCAGGGCTGATGGCACTGGATACTGCTGATGAGGACGGGATGAAAGTGTGGAGCGGATCAGACGGCAGGGCCAAGATATATTAAAAGTCCGTCCGTCCGTCCGTCCGTCCATCCATCCATCCATCCATCCATCCATTCTGCAAATGGTTACTGAGCATTCGAATTGTGAGGTGCTGAGTGGATGCTAGGTATGATATAGTGGACATCACAGTTTTTTGAGGGAGTGAGACATCAAATACGTAATTACACATCTAATTTATTCCTCACCATTGTTAGTGGTTCTCAACCTGTGGGTCGTGACCCCTTTGGGGGTCTAATGGACCTTTCACAGGGGTCGCCTAAGACATAACAGGAGCAAAATTACAGTTATGAAGTAGCAACAAAAATAATTTTATGGGTGGGGGCCACCACAACATGAGGAACTGTATTTTAAGGGCCATGGCCTCAGGAAGGTTGAGAACCACTGTTAAGTGCTGTGAAGAAGCATAGGTTGCTATGAGAGACGGTAGTTAAAAGACAGCAGTGTAATGTATAACATTTAAATGACATTTTTTCATTTGAAAAATACTTTTAACTTTCTAATTCCTAAATTAGATGAAATAAGCAATTGAAGAATTATTCTCCTTTCCGAAAGAAGAAATTGAAATTGTGTTGGAAAGCAAAATAAAACAGATAACAATAGTTTTCTCTAGCCAGGCACTGTTCGAAGTCCTTTTTTGTGTATTAACTAATTCAGCTTCCAACCACTTTTAACTACATTTCTAACTAACCCTAACTTAAACAGCTACTCACTAATGAGTGGCAGAGATGAACCCGGGCAGCATTTCTCCTGCGCTCTGGCTCCTAACAGCAGCACCCTTCACTTACACATGTCCCAGTGTACGGGGCACAAGACGTTTTTTTTCTGACATGACTCAGGAGGAGTATACTGTTATTATTAATGATAGTGTATGCACGTGGAGGCTATTTGCTTCATTTTACAGCCTTGAGAACTGAGGAACAATGAGATTACGAAAGTCTGTATTATTTATCACTGAGCAGTACCTGGAATCCATTCTTTGCATTGTCACACTGGCAAGCACAACCTGTCCAACTTTCAGAGAAGAACATTGCGAGATACATTCAGAAAACAATTTTGGAGGTAATGGGTTTTTCCTAACTGAAAGATACCATGAAGATCATGTAGAGCCTGACTTCAATGTAATGATTATTTTATGTAATTAACTACAATGTGTATAGCATTTTGGAATTGAACAAGATGCTTTCAGAGCATTGGTTATTAGGACCAATTATCCTCTTATTGGAGAGAGAATGAGCTTATAAATAGGTCCTCCCAAAATAACTTTAGGTGTCTCCTACTTTCTCTATACTCCTTTTTAAATTTTTTTTTTAATTTGCTTATTAGTTCTAACAGTCTTTCTTTTAAAAAAATGTTTTACGAATTTTAGGGAGAGAGGAAAAGAAAGGGAGAGAAACATTCGATGAAAGAGAAACATTGGATGAAAGAGAGACATCGATGAAAAGAGAAACATCTGTTCATTGGCTGCCTCCTGCACACCCTCTACTGGGAATTAAGCAAGAAACCCAGGCAAGTGCCCTGACTAGGAATTGAACTGGTGACCTCTCGGTACAGGGGGTGACTGACCCTCAGCCAACTGAGCCACAGCAGCCAGGGCTATACTTCTTTAGTATGATGATGCTAAATAATAAAGAAGAAGAAAATAATAGAGATAAAACATTTTAAATGACAAATTCTTTTCAAGTCAATTAGAATATTTACTGAGCATCTGCTATTATACAGGAAAATGGATACAGCACTTTTAGAAGCACATATACAAAAACAATTCAAAAAGGAGAAACCATATTATAAAACTAAGGTTTTACAGTAGATAAGATTTTTTAAAAATGTTATAGCATTCTCTCTTCTTATTTCTAGTATAACAATTTTTAGTGTATTTTAGAGGAGCAAACACTTCTTATAAATCATTTTGTTAATTCTATTTTTTAACATACATAAAAGCAGCTTATAATTGCACTGCATGCAAAAGACAAACAAACACTTTATTGCACTAAAAACACTTCACATGAAGAATTGCATATGATAAATTTATCAGGAGATGCACCGATTTATAATCAGATATTATATTATCCTAGTTTTGAACAATACAGAATTTTTTTAAATAAGGATTTGCTACATCATATATTGCACACTTTCCAACCCTTATCTATTTTACAAATATTTCTCATGTTCTTTGGTTTTGTTTTTATCTTTGTAAAACTTAATGTATAGGGTTTTAAAGGCAAATAATTTTGTGCCATTGAAAAAACATTGAGGTTTTGGCCAGTTTGGCTCAGTGATTAGAGCATTGGCCCATGCACCGAAGGGTCTCAAGTTTAATTCCCCATCAAGGGCACGTATCTGGGTTGCAGATTCTATCCCCAGCCCTGGTCTGGGTCGTGGGGGAGGCAACCAATCAATGTGTCTCTCTCACATCGTTGTTTCTCTCTCCTCCTCCTTCCTTTCCACTCTATCTAAACAAATCAATGGAAGAGTATCCTTGGATGAAGATTACCAACAACAACAAAAAGACATTAAAGAAGTAAAAACAACAACAACAACATAAATACATAGTCATTCCATTCTTTGGGGAGGGGAGAGAAAGTGACAAAGTAACCTGGCAAACATCTCCAAAAAGAGAGAAATATTACAAAGCTTAGTTTCAGAAGCACTTGTTCACTTAAAAATGTTCTCTGCATTTAACAAATGCATTTAGACTACATATCTATGTAACCAGTTAAAAGTTCTTTTGTTTACATTCAGTTTCTAATACTGTTATCTAATTCCTTCAAATAGTGCAAATGCATGAAGGACACCTATCGTTGGTAGTCATTAAACAATAAATAATAACTCTAAACCTAGCTATTTTATTATTTCTGAATTTTAAAAAGTATAAAGTGCATTCAAAAGGTTTAAAGTCATTCTTCTCATTCTTGGACATATATATCCATCAATCTTTGATGTTTTCAGCTCATGACGAAGGTATTCCATAATGCAGATATTCCTGGAATTTCTCTCCCTCTTTTCCACAGTCTTGTTTGGAAGAAGGTTTCCAAAATAATACAAACTTTTTTTCACAAAGTCTTTATGAAAAATGTTTGAGCGTAGAGCAGCATCCATCAACACCCTTGAGTTTCATGATATAATAATCTGTAACCAAATACGATTCTTCATTATTTGAGGGGTTTACTACATATCCAGTGTAAACTCTTTCCACATTCTGTGCTGCTGGCCTCTGTGCTGTTCAGAAATGCACAGTTCCCTGATCCTGTAAGGTTGAACCTGTTAAACATGATAGAAACAAAGAATTATTTTCAGTTCATCATTTCCTTTCAGTTACATGAACATAAAAACTTTGTGATGGTAGTGGTCTCTGCATTTTTTCCCTTGAGTAGGAAGGCATGAGACAAGCCAGCCAGTCAAATGATCCCAGACTGATCTGGAGAGATAGTAGACAGGGATTGAAAGGAAGAGTATGTGGAAGGGAGGTACAAAGTTAAGAGTAAAGAGCTCTGTTTATTTGATTGGCAAGCCACCAGAGGAGGGTCTCTTGGTCATTTTTGAGTCCATAAACCCTTCAAGAAACAATTCCCAGAAAGTATACACATTCAACAAAACTACATATGAGTGCATGCAATTTTAAAAGGCTTAAGGCCCCTGAAGCTCATCTGTGGATATGATACCATAAGACACCTATTAAGAATTCCTTTTCTAGAGATTTGAATTTATTTTCTGTATCCGTAATTATAATAAAACAATTTAGATAGCTAGAAATTTATTCAACTATGAGTTTTCAGATGACAAAGATTAACACTAAACTTATAAAGTGTCCTTCAAACTTTAAAATGTAGTTTATTTACAGGTAACACAAATAAACTCATTATCTTTTATTCTGGGGCAAGTTTCCTTTCAGTCCCATAGAAGCTGCTAATTAGATATGAAAATGTTGTTCTTTATCCCTGTGGAGATGAGAACAAGGAATTCCCTCATCAGTGAAATATTAATATGAGATTGGAAGTGTTAGATTTTGTCTGCATCATCATAATTATTCCTGGAATATTTATAACTGAGTCTTTTATTCACGCTTATTATTTTTTTCTGAGATCCAATGACTAGAAGCATTTATTGAATGAATTCTAAGTAAATAAAAAGAACAAAATGATAAGATAAAAGCCTTTCTTTGAAGAATCCCAGAGGATCGCGAAAGCTGTTTCATAAAAAAGCACAATCTTCATGTAGAAGAGTGGGAAGAAGGAAAATGGTTTTCCTGAGTCACCAGCCTGGGAAAGATACAAAAACATCCTGAAACGTACCTGTTGAATTCGTTGCCATTTGCCCATTTCCATTTCTGACCATCATTTTTCAGGCCAATCCAGTGTTCAGCTCTGCCCACATACCGTTTTAAAAAGGTCTTAAAGAAATCACAAAGGGGATGCTTGTTAAACAACTCTTCTGGGTAAGTATATATAATAAATTCTCAAAAGCAGTTTCTCAAAAGCTGCATCGGAGATACAACAGCTAAGCTGATCATTTGTTTGCTCTATATAGAATGGACGCATTTGGACTTCTAGCCTTTGAAGCTAGGCATTCAAATAAATTTTACAAGACTAAATAGAACCCTCATTTTGACCTCGGACTAAGTTTTCCTACATGGGACATAAGTACAATGTCTTCTTCACTTATAAGGAAACAGAAGGAAATCACAGATAAGCTATATAAAAGAAAATAGCAATATTTTATGAAATTGTTTTCGAATACTATCTTACCATGTCCTCTTCAGAATCAATGAGAGCTAGAGTAGCACCAAGTTTGAAGCAAGAGTTTTGGGCCAAGGTCCAATTCTTTGTTGCATTGGAAATAAAGTAGCATTTCCTCTGGTATCCAATCCAATCATCTGAGCATGAAACAACACGGTTGTTTGATGATTCTGAAGGTTTATATTGGGCTGGACAATTGTACTGGCCCACTGTGAACAGGAAAATTGTTTGTTTTAGTAACAGAAGAAACAAAATACCCATAGCATGCACACCTAGTTTAGGTGATGCTGTGCTGTACTATTGATAAAGTAAAAGATGAAAAACAAGAAGGTGTATTCTGAGACGCATAGGAAGGCAGGTTCTCGCCTTATTAGATCTCCCATTGTGCCTAATCACCACTGTACAGAGTGTAAGAGAAAGGCTGGCTCTTTGGCCATAATGTCTGAAAGTGGTAGAAAAAAAAAATCTTGAAAATTGCCATAGACTAGAAAGGATAAAGTGCATTATAAATTTCAAGTAAGGTTTTGAATCTGAACGTAGAGGTGGAGGAATTTAAACTTCAGTAGACAAAACACTATGTTGGAAGATGAAGGAGAAAATAATTTGCAGGGAAATAATTCAGAACACAAAAAGCTTTATGACTGGAGATATTCTACAAAATTGTAAAAAATCATTTTGTAAAAGACACAAATGTATCTTGGTATAGTGAAATACTTTGAATACCATATGACAGTTGAGTCTGAGAGTTTCTAGATATATTCTTAATTAATGTATAAATCATAGACATTTTTCATACTTATAGAAAAGCCCCAGAGTTGTGAAGAAAAAAGAGCCCATGTTCACAACTGGTGGGAATATAAACTGCTAGAACCACTATGGAAAACAGTACGAAGATACTGTTCTTTAAAAATTAAGATACTGTTCTATTCTTTAAAAATTAAGAGTAGAATTATTATATGACCCAGTAACTCCTGGGTATCTACTCAAAATATTTGAGAACATTTATTCTCAAAGGTATATGCGCTCCTGTGTTCACTGCAGCATTATTCACAGTGGCCAAGACATGGAAACAGCCAAAGTGCCCTTCCAAAGATAACTATGGAATGCTGCTCAGCCATAAGAAAAGATGAAATACTGCCATTTGTAACAACATAGATAGGCCTTGGGAACATTATGTTAAGCAAAATAAGTCAGTCAGAAAAAAGCTAAGAGCTACATGATTTCACTTATATGTGAGATGTAAAACTGAAATTCATAGACACAGACAACAGTATGGGGGTTATCAGAGGCAAGGGAGTTGGAGGGTAGTAAAGGATAAAGGGGCCCAAATATATGATGTCAGAAGATGATTTGACTTATGTGGGCAGTGGGCACATAATGCAATATGCAGATCATGTATCATAGAAATGTACACTTGAAACCTATATGGCCTTATTAACCAATGTCATCCCAATAAATTTAATAAAAAAAGAAAAGCTTTAAAAAACTCAGAATGGTATTATATTAATCATTCAATGTACTTGGAATTATATTTAATATTTTTTTGGAAACCCACCATGTATGATACGTGGGATTCTCCTAAATTACTCAGAATTTCTGATTAATTGGACCAAGGAATCCCTGTTGATTTCAGCTGGGATTACAACAAACGCTCACATCAAAGAGACTCAATGAATTCATGAAATGCAGACCTACCTGATAAAGCAACGAGAGCTATGACCAACATAGTGATGATGACCACATTCACTACAGCACATGGAATGGGAACTTGAAGGGATCCTTCATGATGCGTTGCAAAGTGCAGACTGGCAGCATTATCTGAAGAGAGAAAGTTGGTGAATACAGGCAGGCTACAGAAGTAAGATAGGGACATATAATATTTTCTTGAGGCATTTCCTTTAAAAAGTAATGTGTCTCCCTATCTTCTACGAAATATATAAGTTAGTGAATTTGGACAGTTGATTTTTGGCTAGAAATGAAACAATATAGGCATAATAATGAAATCATAAGATATCTCCCCAAAATATGTACTTAGTAGCTACGAAAATTCTAAGTCTATCATAATTTTATTGTTTTAATCACAATAATTACATTTATTAAATACCTGATTACCTTAGATGACATATTTAAAAAATTCTAAGCATAATCCCTTCACCTCAAGGTATTTACTGTTTAGGAGAAATGATGTAAATGGGGGATATAAAATTTTTTGAATTAATATATTAATAACTAGAACCAGCATGACTGAAAATAAAAAGGTTGATAGTTTTTGGTAAAGTCGGTGCAGACATGAAGCAATTAAAATTTTTGTAAATTACTGATGGTAGAGTAAAATGAAAAATTACTTTAGAAAACTGTTTCTTACATAATTAAGAATACATCTACCCTATGATCCAGCAATTCTACTCCTATATATGTTCTCAAAAGAAATGAAAATATGTCTTAAAAATGCTTTGTATAAGAATGTTCTGGGAAGTTTTATTTTTAAGAGCCAAATCTTAGAAATAACCCAAATACACACCAACAGGAAAATGGATAAACAAATCATGCTAATATTCTTAAAAGGACATTCTACTTAGCAATTAAAATACAAAAGAACAAATGAAACTGCAACAAAATGAATACACTTTTAAACATTGAGTGAACAAGTCCATCTATAGTTGTATATTACATATTTTATTTACTATAACATTCAACAATAGGTGAACCAAACGATGGTGACAGAATTCAGAAAAGTAATTGCTTTTATGTGTGTAAAATAGATAATTTGAGTGGAAAGGAACATGGGAACTTTCTAGGTGATGAAAATGTCAAATGTTGATTGGAGTTGTAATTATATCTCACTAAACTGTACACTTATGATCTGTGCATCAATTGTATGTAAATTATACCTCAATTAAAATGATATGTGAATGAGCCCTGGCAGATTTGGCTCAGTGGTTAGAGTGTAGGCCCAAGGACCAAAGAGTCATGGGTTTGATTCCAGTCAAGGACACCTACCTCAGTTGTGGTTCGGTCCCTAGCCTTGGTTGGGGTCGTGTGGGAGGCAACCAATAGATATGGCTCTCTCACATTGGTGTTGCTCTTTCTCTCTCCTCTCTCTCTTTCTCTCTCTCCTCCCTCTCTGTCTGAAGATAAATGAAAAAAAATATCCTCTGGTGAGAATTAAAAAAAAAGATATATGAATGAACAGTAAAATTATTTGAATTTTTAAAGAGAAGTTAAAATAGTAGAGGAAACTAAAAGTATTAAAGATCAGAGATTGGGCAGAAATTAATTTTTTCATTTACCCTTTGTATAATGCTGAAACAAAGTAAAATTTTGATTTCACCAATAAACATATTTCTGTGGAAGGATTTAGAATATAAATATGATGTGAATGATGATTCTTAGTTACACACACACACACACACGAAAACCTAGAAGGATATCTGTTCTAAAATATAAATAAATAATTGAGAAAGGAGAGAAGGGGATTTTGTGACTCAGGTTTGAATTTGATTTTTGTTAGAAAGAATTATCAATTTTAAAAAATTTGGCCTCACAAGTAATACACAGTTCCCTATTATATTCTGAGAAACTGAAATATAAAATTGCTACTTAAATGATATTAAAATTCACTATTAGAAAACAGTCTAAAACTGTGAAAATATCCTGTTTTTTCAGTGTGGCTGACTTTCATAATTAAAAGCACATATCTTGAAATGCATGTATGTTGCCTTAAACCACTTCTCTAAAGTTAAACTGGGCAAAGAAATGTTGCTTTCTTTGACAGTAATTTACCATGTACCAAATGCCAACATCAGCTTCTGCTTCTGGGATTTTTCCAGTGATGATCTGTATTCAGATTTTTCATGAGATGCCTTTACTTCACTCCTACCTAGTTCTATTTCTTACAGCTTCTCAAAGCAAATGTTCCTCTTTTCACCGGAATCCAACTATTACCGGAAGGAGCCCTTGGTAGGTAGATAGCAAGTTCAGAGCTCTCTGTCTAGTTTCACTTCTCACCATGCTGCGTAGACTCAATGCAGCAACAGCTCTTGTTCCTGAGCCAGTACTAACTCATCCAAATAGTACAGGGACTCCAAAGTCCACCTTAGTCTGTTGGCTTATCCAGTAGGTAAACTGTGCAGATGACTTTCAGACTGTACTTTATATCCATTAGTAAGGGCTATTACTGGTCAGTTTGATTTATCACCTAGGTGACAAAATACTCCTCTCAAGAGTATACTTCTGGTCTGTTTATGGTCTCTGTTCATTAATGGAGAAATTGAAAATAAATCTACCATTTTATTTTGAGTCACCTAAGGGTAATGCCCAGTGTTTTTTCAGACCAATAAAGCAAGTATTGCCCTCTATTTATTGAATAGTTTTATTAGTATAATTATTATTATTATTTTTTTTTGGCAGTTCAACTGGGCCGTAAAGTTATGGTTATGTGGTTACCAAAAATGTTGTTGAGTTTTCGCTTATTATCCATACTTATCTGTGTTCTTAAGTGAGAGATGGGTTTATGGGAGATAATCAAAGCTTTTCTAATGCAAAAGAGTTTAGTAGACACACACTCTAAAAAAAACAAATCCCTTTCTCTACATTGTTTTAGCTCTGCTGTTGATAACACATCCCTTTATTACTGCTTACAAATAAACTCTGCTTCCTACATGCTAGGTTTTGGGGTATCTCAGTAATTAAAAAAGGAAGAAGAATAAATTTTAAAAAATCAAGAAAGCCTCACAGAAAAAAACATGGAAAAATTCTGGCATCATAGATAAAATGGGTCTCTGGACAGAATAGATAAATAGAAGAGAGGAAATAGTGCGTAGCTACAATACTCATATTTTAATTAAAAACAAAAGAAAGACAGAAAAATGTCTGATTCATATAGAATTTGAAGCCTGTGATTGGATGGATGGAACTGAAGGATAAAATGTAGAAAATATAGGAACAGAGTCCCAAAAAGAACATAGAAGCAGAAGATGGCATTTTCGATAATTCTTGCATGACATTCTCTTGACAAATTACCATTGGACAGTGTCAATGTTCAGATGCTTATATGCCTATTCTCTCAAAGACTGGAACCTTCATTTCTAGCAACTGGAAGATGCTTTCATGAGAACATAAGATGAGGCACACAGAAAGCATACAAAAGATGCAAAGTGAAGGCAATCAACGTAATTGTTTATGTGGAAAACAGAATTTTTGTAAAGAAAGTCAATGCTTCAGGGAACGTGTACAGATGGACATGGAAAAATGATAGAGAGTGCATTGGACTTGAGCAGGGAGTTTTGTAATAACTTCTAAAAATTGAGATAAAGCAAACTGAAACAAAGAAACATCTTTGAAGATCTGAAATTCACCTTTGTATTTCCTTTTATCTTAGAAATCCTTTCTTTTCATAGATAAATAAATACTTCTTCCCATTTTCTCTTTTATCCTGACTGACATAGAATGTAACCAAGATTTTCAAGAGACAAAGCCTCATTTTCTTCCCTAAGCACTGTTCCGGGGAGGGGCAAACGTAGGTTCGCAGTTGTTTGTAAGGAAAAATAATATCATAATAAATAAATAATAATACAAGAATAAACTCAGATAGGGAGGATGGTGTCTGTGGGGGGGGGAGAAACATCTGTAACAAAAATAAATTAATAATAATAAAAAAAAGAATGACTCTGTGCTTTGTGTACTTACAACTGCAAACCTACTTTTGCCCCACCTTGGATATATCATCTATATAGATAGTTATTACCAGCACATAAAAATAAGATCCAACTTACTTTGTCGTCCTCTTTCCAAGGAGCTGTTCTCTGTTAGGGAGCAATCTTCAGAATGCATCTTTCTTCTAGTCCTGGTTAATCTCAAATTAAGCCAATCTACGGTGAACTTCTTTGCTGGAGCTCTAGTTCAGTATCTGAGATATCTTAGCATTTATAGTCACATGTGTTGTCTCCGCCCCCTTCCTCTTGACGTCTAATCTCATTCAAGAACTCCAGTTCCCTTTAATTTATGCACCAGTGGCCCAGACATTTTACAATATATTGTTGTGGTGAGCTGTGGGCTTTCCCTGCTGTCTGACATGTGCTTTCTCACAACTGTAGGTGTAGCATGAAAAGACACATGGGATTTTCCCAGAACCTGTGACATCTTTCTTTAAATGTGTAGAAAACAAAAATAATTTAGGAGACAGCATATCAAAGTAAAACATTTAAAGTTAGAGATTCCTATCTTTGAAATGGAGATACTTTGGAGAGTAATATTTCTCTGGAATTCCATTTATTCATTTATTTAACTAATATTTATTAAACATCTATGAAATTGACATTCTTTAGAGCTAGAGGATTTATTGTTGGACAAGAATATAAACATCTCTATTATCATGGATCTCTAAGAAAGAGTTTTCTAAGGAATTTGTAAGTTGACTTTCAGAAGTCTGCCATTCACTTCTTTCTAGGGGGCCAGTTTTTCTTTAAAGATATCATTTAGTAAGTAGTTGCTTTAATGCAGGAAATAGAAACCCTGTGGCTGGAACTTCCTTTCTATGTTCTAAAGTTGTTTATCTTGAATTAACTGTTTCATTTATCTCCTGTTAGTTTTCATTTTTTTTGTCAAATATTTCTGTCATTTAAACCACTCGTTTTCCCTTGGCAGTATCTTATCTTCCTTTTTCCCCTAGCTCTTAGAGTATTTTTTCATGTATCTCTGAGGTTTAAGACATAAGTATGATTACTATAAAAAATATATTGTCATAGTATCTGTATTATACTAATTACTTATTCAGATCAACACAAAATAAATGCAGAATGTCCATGTATAGTGATTTAAGGAGAGGACAAAAATATCGCTCTGGTTAATAATGGTGCCTAAAATTTAATCATTAATATCACTTTTTTAGAGTAGAGATATTCTGTTTATACAGTAAGGCCTTTGTGAAAATGTTATGCTTAGGTGGGTTGGAAATTATCATCTCCTATAGGTTAGTTAGGCCATCAAAGTTATTTGTTTACCTAAGACACGAGGAGGTACATGTCAGTCCTAAAGGCTCTCTTTGTTTCCATTCTATTTTTCAGTCAGTTTCCTAGTATGTTTTCCAAATAGCAGCTAAAGGGTTTGTTTTGTAATTAAATGATATAATTTTGATGAGATGTTCAACTCTTTTCCTCTTTCCACCCTTAATGGCTTCTTATGAAATTTACTATAAAATTTAAACACCTTCTCATAGTTGAATAGGTCCATGATCTGGTTCCTGGCTTTTTTTGTTTGTTTGTTTGTTTGTTTTTAATTCTATTTATCCTATAAGCCATTGCTCTCTCTGACAGTAACCTCTTTGCTGTTTCATAAAAATTTCAAACATACTTTCACTAGGACGTCCGCCTTTTCTCTAAACGGTTCCTCCTCCCTCTACTTGCATGTCTTGCTCTTCCCTTCATTCTATTCACTCACTGTTCAACTTTCATCAGCCCAGTGAGGTCTTCACTTGCCTTTTATATGTAAAAGAAAAATGTCACATGCTAAGCTTCCACAAAGCTTTATATTTCCCTATACTATTTGTCAATATCTGATATTATATTATTATCATCTACTTCCCTTACTAGACTGTAAGCTGCTTGAGGCAAGAACTTTTTCTGAGTTGCTCTTTCTGTCTCTAATACCTGACATAGTAACTGGAACCCAGTGTGTACTCGCTATATACTTGTTGAATAAGAGAATAAAGAAATAAATGTGAATTATGAAAAAAACATATATAAAACATACGAGTTCCAAAATATAGAATGTTATTCAGGTAGACTTGTGGGACTGTAGGGTTGAGAAATATGTGATTTTAGATTGCCACTAGAGAGCCAGTGGACTTTTGAATACTGCTCATGAATGACGGAGGAGTTAAAGTTGGTACCTAAGGGAATAGATGATGCATTTGCTAATTTCTTTAGGTTACAACAACTTAGATCTTTAAAATGTGTATTTATCCTTCTAGAGTTGGAGATCTGGGTTAATGTCCACATGACGTAACTAACTATACATAACATATTGTGATGAATGCATGAGACAGTATTTCTACTATAAATATGAAACATTGTTGATCTCTTCCAAGTCTAGTGTATAAGAGAAAGAAAATATCCTTGAAGACAATGATAATCCTTCCCATGTTCTTTCCCACACGAAGCAAGAATTTTAAACAGCTGATTAGACTAACATAAAAATCATGACCCAGTTATACCATTTACTATTGTACCTTTTCCCTTCTAGTGATTCCCATATAAGTATGAAAATATAATTTTTTTAGCTGAACACCAACTATCTTTGAAGTTTGAATATTCCACAACAGTTAGGCAGGTTAATATAATGAAAACAGTGTATGTTTTATGGATAGATAATCATTTCCCACAATTTTCCCTCTGCTCCCTGTAGACCAGCTGGGCTGACTTTCATTCTATTCTTTGAAAAAGCTAAAGTTATTTTTACTTTATTGGGTGTATTCTTGCTTTCGTTCTTTCTGCCCTCAGATTTTCATAGCAAATTCTTTCTTTTCATTGAGGTTTACCTCACATGTACCTCCTCATCAGAACATCTCTGACCACCTGTATAAATTACTTCACATTAGTCAAAATTTATTACCTCATTCTCTTCTTTTAGTTTATAGAACATTTCCGAAGATGATATATTCTATAAACTAAGAGTGAGGTAATAAACTGTGACTTGTGGGAAGTAATATATAAAATTTTCAAAATTATTATTATTATTTATTTCCCTAACTAGAAAGTAAGGTCTTTAAGAGCAGAAACTCGTCGGTCTTATTCAACAATAAATCTCTAGTACCTGTCATAGGGCCTAGAACATAGGAGTTCAACAAGTATTTGTTGGGTAAACACATAAAAGAATGTATATGAATTTCAACCAAAGCATTTGTTAACTGTGCACCTTTTGGAAACTTACGCAACTCCAGTGATTTTTGGTTTTATCTATAAAATAAAAATAGTAGCATCCAACTTGTCCATTTTTTGTGTGAAAAACACACACACACACACACACAACACCAACATTATAAATTAGATAATTAGTTTTCTACCACAGTGTTTGGTCTGTATTAGGCATTTAATGTTATATAAATAAATAACAGCTTGATACAAGTCATGAAAAGGGAAAGTTCTTCACTTGATATAAGGCACCAAAAAATAAAACTGAAAATTACAGCATAATTGCTGATATAATGCAATTGCCTCTTATCTGTCTAGGATGCAGACAGACAGAGGAAGTTGCAGCATCCTACCATCACCTCTAACAGCTTTCATGACACTTATTCACTTCCTTATGTGCTCAAGCTTTCTTCAGCCCCAGTCAGGAGGATAGATATTACACATATACTTGTACATGCTTATATGTATAAACTCAGACATGTATAAGCTATTTATATTATATGTGTTGTATATAATTTATAATATGTATTATATATGCTATTGCGCACAGAAAAAATGATACCTAGGATTCTTATTGTAAGAAAATAAATATCTTTTCTGTTGTTGTTATTGTTAATCCTTACCCGAGGATATTTTTTCATTGGTTTTTAGATAGAGTGGAAGGGAAAGAGAGCGAGAGAAAGGGAGACATTGATTGGTTGCCTCCCACATGACCCTGACCATAGCCAGGGACTGAACCTGCAACCCAGGTAACGTGCCCTAGACCAGGAATCAAACCTGAGACCCTTTGGTCCACAAGCTGATGCTCCAACCACTGAGCCAAACCAGCTAGGTAAGAAAATAAATATCTTTGAACATTGTTACAATGTTTACAATCTGTTGCCTTTGTTCTGAACTCATTTTCTGTTTTGGGGAGCAGTCAATGTAATTTTTGGGATCAGCACTTGCACAGGTGGGAGTAGGCAGCCACTGCCCAGGGAAAATCCAGCCAAAGTGCCAGGCCCATGTTATCAGTAGGCCTTCTAGGAGTCCATTGGCCCTCACGGTATTCTTGTTTTCTGTAATAATCTAAACTTTATTGTAAAATATAAGTTGTTCATTCATTCTTCCTTCCCTCCTACAGCCAATTTTTAAGGGTAAGAACTCTCCCTTCTGTTTGAGGAAGCAACCAACTTCAATTCCTGTGAAGGAGCGACTGCCGAATAGGGATTGCCCAGCACAGCCCTTACTGACATCTGTAGCCCTGACATAATTATTAAAAGTGTGTCATTTCACTTGCAGCAGTGTCTTCTTGTGTACAATAATGTATATGCTCATATCATTAATCAGTATTTGGTAAATGAAAGGAAGGTATCTATACTTGTGAAATTATAGCAAATAAGAAAAAAAAAGTGTGGAGGATCAGGATGTAGTGTGGGAGAAATTTGGGGGTCAGAGGGTTTTTCAGTTGTCCCTTATCCATCTAAATGTGAAAACAAACTTCCTGTATGGTCATCTCTGAGGGATTTAATTCTCCAAAGCAAAGAAACACATAATGGAAACTGAAGAAACAACACTAGTGCCAATAAAGTCCTCACAAAATACACATGCCAGTAATATACCACTTTCAACTTTTTCAGAGATATTTTGTCTTATTTCACAGAAAATATATCAAAAAATTAAGGATATCCCAGGGAAGAGATTATCATCGACACTTTATAGTTCAGTTGAGAAAACTGAGGCTTAGAGAAATTAGTGCCTGGACAAAGTTGAAGAAGCCCCTCAGGACACCAGAACTCAGTGTAGCTCTCCTTTATGTTTGACCTTATATGAAGAATCCGGGTGAAGGTTCCAGGAAGGAAATGAAGTAATGCGAGCCAAATGCAGAATGATGCAGAGAAGACAGGATATACAGTCCTTATCAGGCAGCAGCTCAGCAGAACGCTTTTAGTGCCACCTGTTCACAGGGACCGCAACTTCCGACCTAAGAGTTT